CTTTGCAATGTTATATCAATTATACGTTGTTCGCGTCAAACCCTGCCGTCCAGGGAAATAGCCACACGCAGAATTCAGCCGTATCTAAAAGGTTAATTACATATATTTGTAAGTAATACAAATATTTAATTTAAATAAGATAATTACCTACTTAAAATAATATACAGCACCATGATAGTAAATCAATAATTATTGAATGATGAATATGAATATTATAAAAAAAAAGTATTCATTCAAAATATATTAAAAAATATAGTATTAAAACAAATTTAAAAATCACGTGATGAGTGTACACGTGGGAAATATAAAACAATAATTTAAGTACAGTTAAGTACAAAATTTGAACTATAAATAAGCATGAAAAATTATTGTTTAGAATGAAATTTAAAATAATATAAATAATTAATATATATAAAATATAATGAGTGTGTGTGTGTGTGTGTGTGTGTAATTTCTAAATATTTTAAAATGAAATATTCATTTCACATATGTAATCGTCATAAACCAGAATACATATATAATATAAAAATAAATAAAAAATCTATTTAAAAATGAATACAAGATAATACCCAAATGATTAATACATTTTGTCGTCTTAAAACGTGGATGAAAAATGATTTACAAACCTAATTCGTGTGAAAATTATTAACACCCTGCCAATTATTGTTCAAACTATCATCAAACTATATCTCGTTAATGAAATAACAATAAATAATCTTTAACTTTCGTACGACCATGTTTCTATTAATCAAAAATATGACCGTATAATTAAAACGTGAATTTAAAAATAAACCATTTTAATAGATGATGATGATGATGGTGATGGAAGATCAATCGTTGACAAATTCGCATATCTCTAATCTCGATTTTAATATATCTCCCTTAGGTGTATGAGAAAATTCGAAATTTCGCGTGGGAACGCGTTCTTCTCGATTGAAATATTTTTGATCCTCCTGTGATTCACGGAGCTGTAGGGTGTCCCGATGAAACAAACGTGAGTATTTAAGTTGCATGGATTTTATCGCTTCAATTGTTTTCCTTTTTATTTTTTTTTTTATCTATCAATTTTATATAAATATCGAAATACTAGAAACCTTATAACGATGAACGAATGAATCTTAATGGGAAGAAGATTTATAATATTTTATTGGCAATACGATTCTTTTTTTTTATTTTTTTTTTTTTTTTATTTTTTTTAAAGTCTACGTTGTTTCATTCCCATTTTGTTATTCGCATGTGACAATTACCAGAGAGACTTTTTACAGGCAAAAAGAAACAGCATCGTTTATTACGTGATGAAGAAAATTACATCGTTAAAGTGTCAGTGTGCATAAAACTAATAAAGACGTTCTTTTTAAAGTGTATCTTTTAAAAATTAGGTGTTCACGTCCAGCAGGGGAGAGTTTTAAGTCTTCAGAGCAGCATTGGTGTATTCTTCGATTGTATTTACTTTATTTATTTATTTATTTAGTTTTTTTTTTTTATCTATTTTTTTCTTTTTTTTTTTTCTCTAAAGATAAAATATATATGTTGAAGGATAAAAGACTAAAATCGAATAGAAATATAAGAAAAGAGACATAGTCTTTTAAATAGAAACGTGTGCTTTTAAGTTTACCAGTGTGAATTACATTTTTCGTTTAAATCTTTCGTCCTCGGCCTGCTTTGAAAAAAAAAAAAAAAAAAAAAAACACACACTCAAGAGGATCTAATCTGAAATCCGACATTTTTAAATTGCTTAGAAACAATATCCTTATTTATTTATCTCACACCAATATACAAAAATGAACTGTATAATCAATATCAGAATATAATATACTACGAAAATTCAAATATATTTAATAAAGATATATCTGAGTATCTTACAAGATTAGAATGATGTATCCAACTTGAAACAAAATCGTTCTGCAACATTCTTTTTCTTTTTCGTGTTTTTTCTTTTCTGCTTTTTTTTTTGTTTTTGCGGTTGGCACAGAAATTCTGGTAGAAAATTGTTTTTACTTTTTTTTTTCTCTTTCTACGGCCGTTTTACTAAAGATTATAAATAAGTATTAATTTATGGAATCTCTTATATATATATATATATATAAGAAGTTGCCTAAGGTAATCTCGAGTGAAAATAAAAAAGGGTGTTACGTCTCCTTTTCCTTTTCTTCTAATCTTTTTCTTTTTTTCTTTTTTTTTATTCCTAACTAATCCATTTCGAAGTGGCCCTAAAAATTGGAATGGTATTCTCCTCTCATTGATTTTATTCATGATTCACGATCGACGAGTTTACGATGATTCTCGAAAATATTCGTATGTACTTCGAGTAACAAATGCCGTTTATTTAATAATAATCGGTGTATTGCAAGGTATTATACAACGTTAAAGATAAAGATAAAGATAAAGAGAAAAAGAGAGAGTAAGTAAGTAAGAAAGAAAGAGAGAGAGAGAGAGACAGAGTGAGAAAATATTCACTGCATGTTTCTGCATAGAAAAAAATGTCACGAACAAATATTTTGTTTTTTTCGTTAATCGAAGGTATGAACGTTTATTTTCGAAATTCACAGCACAATAGTTGTGTTAAATTTTCTTTTTTTTTTTTTTTTGTTTTCTTTTTTTTATACGGACCGAAACGTGAATCAGCAATAAAAATCTTTGAGCTCGAATACTTTATAATAAAATTGTTCGAGGATAGAAAGGTTTAGAGCACAAATATCGGCGCTTACGATTCTAATCGAGAGCGCAGAAAAAAGGGGTGAATGATGGTGGTGGTGGTGGTGATGGTGATGGTGGTGGTGGTGGTGCTGCTGCTGGTTTTAGGGAATGGTGGTGGTGATGGTTCAGAGGATAATTTTTCCCTGTTTATTATTTACTTTTATATCTCTCGCGTACTGCTTCGCGACCACGACGCTAACACCGTTTTTTTTTCCTTTTTTTTTCTTTCTATGAAAAAACATGGAATGTAGAGTAAATCGTTATTTGATTTTTTTTTTCCTTTTCTTTTCTTTTCTTTTCTTTTTTTTTTCTTTTTTTCCTCTTTTTTTTTTTTTTTTTTGAATCGGTTTGATTGATATCTTAATAATGGTACGATTATATCACAAGAAAGATTCGAATACTCTGTACATAGTCCGTGAAACGCGTTCGCGCCGGAGCCTAATCTTACATTTACATAATTATTACGCCTAAAGATTTAATTACAAAGTTAGATATGTCTCAGGTTCACCTGGTGTTGTACTTCATACAATGTTCTTTTCTTTTTTCTTTACTACTACTTCTTCTTCTTATTCTTATTTTTGTTCGCACTTTTATTTATTTTCCATTTAAATTCTCATCAAATTTTTTTTCTTTTTTAATATTTTTTTCCGACGATATCGATCTTTCATCGTATTATATATATGATACACGTGAAAACGGAGAAACATCGATTCCGTCTTCTACTAACACTCCCCCCCCCCACTTCTTTTTCTTTTTCTATTCCACATTACTATTTCATTCTTTTTTTTTATTTTATTTTATTTTATTTTTTCTATTCGTTCGACTTTTTTGCTTAACGCTTATAAATCGACATTATTAATCGTTAATTGGCACATTTCAAATGGCAACTTTTGTCTTTATATATTGGCACGATAATCGTTTATTTATTTATTTATTTTTTTTTTCTTTTTTCTATTTTTCTTTTTCTTTTATCCCCCACCCTTCGTTTCTTTTTTTTCTCTTCGATATTATTTTCCTTCCTTTCCTTTTCTTTCCTTTCCTATCTTCGTTCTTTAGTTTTACATTTAAAGAATAAAATTCATGTCGTTTATCACGACGAACACGAGTAATACGTGACTTATACGAACGCGGTTTATTACATGACGTATTTTCCATTTTCGAATTATGTGTGTTTCAGGCTAGATGAAGATACATCAAATAATAACGATATAACGATTATATAAATTAATACTCCTTATAGCCTCGTATACGGCTCTCAGATGTGATTCATGTATTTTTATCGCATATTGTGTTTATTATTAATTTCGCATTTCCTCCATCACGACATTGTTTATTTAAATCGAAAGAAATGAATATTAACCCTTTCGATACGAGCGTCGGGTATATCCGGCATCCATGTGCCGGACCCCCCCCCCCCGTGTGTATTACAAGCATTGGCATATCGTTCAACGTTTTTTTTTGTTTTCTTTTAAGCATAGTTCTTATTCAACGCTTAGGAAAATGATTTAATGCTCAAACGTAGTGCTCGTAACGAAAAGGGTTAATTAAAAATGTATAAAATAAAAAGAAGAAAAAAAGAATCCTGGTTATAGAAGACACCAGGAAAGGGGCGTATACATACATACATACATACATACATACATACATACATACATACATACATACATACATACATACATACATACATATATATTTTATTCTAATTAGATCGATTGCGTTAGGTAATTAACGATTTATATAGATCGAAAGAAACCCATCCTACGTGTACCCATACTCAGAGAAAGAAACAAGATCGCTTAAGAGGAATGCGAAAAGCTCGAGTATATATATATAGTGTATATATATATATATACACATATACCTACATACGATCGATCTTTAAGGGATTGCACGTAGACAGAGGAATGAGATTGTTCGTTGCAAAAAACTGCATTCTTCTATTTACTTCGGCGTTAAGGCTAACGCGCGCATCTATCGATCCGCAAGTTCAAGATACGACAAAAAAGATAGTTAGAGAGAGAGAGAGAGAGAGAGAGAGAGAGAGAGAGAGAGAGAGAAAGAGAGAAGGACATACATAGCTTTACGCTTTTCCTTCTACGATCTGTGTTCGTTCTCTTTCTCTCTTCAACTTCTACTTCTTCTTCTTTTCTAACCAATAAGAACGCGAATCTACTTTTTTATTTTTATATATTTGTTTTTTTTTTAAAACAGACGAGAAGGAGGAGAAACGCCATTGGTCGTTTCGAACGAAACAAAATTAAAAAAAGGAAAAAAAAGAATTATTTATTATTTTATTTATATTCTTTTATATTTTCTCTTCCTATATATGTGGTGGTCGGCATATATTGCGAAATATTTTTCGACGAGCTTTTCTGTATCCTATGCACCCCTCGCTCCCCCTCCCTTTCTCCCTTACGCCGTTGTTGTTAAGTATTTGTAAATATACAAGTCGTAATTATACTTTAATAGGATTTTTAACGCGAAAGACCCGGCGCGTGAGATTAATATTTAAAATATAATATGGATTGCACTTTGGATGTCTGATAAATATCACAAAGAGTCTCTGCTCTGTATACGAGTAGCATTAATAAAATAATAATATTAATTGTAATAATAATAATAATAATAATAATAATAATAATAATAATAATATTAATAATAATAATAATAATAATTATAGTCGTCCGTTCGATACGAACGTTTTCCTATAAATGTTTCTTCTTTTTTATCTACCCCCTTCATCTACCCCCTCCCCCTCCGCCTCCCATACACCTTCCCCATCTTTCTAGAGATCTATTTTCTTTTTTATGTTTTTTACATAGCCCGCTACCGTACGAATGAATGAAATTCTTGAGCTAACTCGCGAGAGGAACTTGCGAATCGTTAGGGACGAAAGAAAACATTTTAATTTCGATCACCTCCGTGTAACATACATATATATATATATATGTATCTGGGTTTGTTTTTTTTTGTCATTTTTTGTCTTTTTCTCTTTTTTGAGTAAGTATAAATACCATTGTGTTTCTTATATCGTTATATAGATGCTAAATAAAATTTATTTTCACACGAAAACGTTGTCTGGATTTGAAGGGAAAAATATATATATATGTATATATATGAAAAAGAAAAATTAGATTTGAGTTTTTTTTTATAGAAATGTAATATACCTCGTGTATCATTCAAACGTGATTATATTTAAATTGATATTAATTAAATATCGGATAAAATAGAAAAAAGAATTCAAATTTTTCATCAGACTTAATTCCCCTTCGAATCGAACAACAAGGTATCGTAGGAAACATTTGATTTGCTTTGTTCAACGAGTCTATAAGAAATATAATTGCCTGTATATATTTAAACCGCGTTTATTCTCGCGTATATATAATGTATATTATATATGCGCTATTATTTCCCACGTTCGTCAACGAATCCTGATAGATGAGAGATTCGCAAAAGTCAATTCGAAAAGAAGGCAAAAAAATAAAAAGAACGATATTCGATCGTGATTGCACTGTATTTTTTTCCTTTTCTTTCATTCTTCTTCTCCTTCGATATTCCTTCTTACTTTTCCTTCTTCGAAATTTCCTCGAATCCTTTTTAACACCCCTTCCCCTTCCCTCCACCCCTGTTTTTAAAATCCTTATCGATTTTTTCTCTCTTATTTTCATGTGTTTCATCCATGCACGATGGGTCTTTTGAGTTTTAGTTTAGTTTTTCGTAATTTCTCCGACCAGCCAACCTCAGTGAACAACACGCGCACCACACCCACCACACGCGTTTCAATTTATTCTCCGCGGTTTAAACAATTCTCGCGTTAATATGTTTGCGTGTATGCGTGCGTGCGTGCGTGTGTGTCTAGTGGTCCACTGTCAGCTTCTCTATCACATGTGATAGGGAAAGAGTGAGTTCTCAATTGTATGGCCAGGAATGCCTTATAGACGTGACCACGTTAGAGGTAGGCGGGTCTTCCGGGCGTCACTTCTTCATGTCGTTCATTAACGAACTGTCCTTGCTTTTATTCGTGTCGAGATTCGATTGTTGACTGCTTGTCACGCCGCTACCGTTCCCTGGATACATCTTCTCGAGATGATTCAGAGACTCGCTTAGGAACTTCTGTAATGATTAATCATATACGTCAAATGTTAGAGTTAAATCATTTTCATCGAAATATTTTGACAAATATAACATGTATATATATATATATATATATATAAATATATATATAAATAT